AAACTTTCTATAAAAACCCAATAGTTAGATTTGGGGTATTTCTTTTGGGAGATTAGAAAATGGGTTAGACTGCTGTGATTATTTCCTCCTTTACAAGAGTTCCCTGATGATTTATGCCTAATTTACAACTTAAGAATTGTAAACTGTCCTTACTTTGAAGACTTTTATGAAACTGCACAGACATTAGGTAATATCAAGTGTGATTATATAATTTATGGTTCATGAAGAAAAACCAGAATCAGTTTTCTAAAAACGTACCTAGATAAAAATAACAGTAGTCTTTGTTCTGCTTCTCACACTAGTGTCCAAAGGAGTTACAGGACTGTAACACTTATCTTACTACATTATTATATTTATATATTACTATATATATATTACTACCTATTACTATATATTACTATGTATTACATATTTTACTATTACTACATAATTACTATAATACTACATAATTTACTATATATAATATATAACATAGTATGTATTGTATACTATATAACTTACTATGTAGTTTATATATTTTACCATGACACCATTTTACTTTATTTTCCTTTTTTATAGTATTTTAAATATGCACTGGTAAATGCCTCAATATTTAGGTATACATATGTGTTTGTATATATAACATACATATATGTATAATAGTGTCTTGTAAAATGCATTTTTTTGTCTTGCAAAATGAGGATAATTTCACCATAATGTTCTTATGCAGACTCTTCTAGCCAATAAAATGAACTCTACAGTTCTTTTTTTTTTAGAGTTTATTTATTTATTTGAGAACGAGCAAGTGAGCGAACACGAGGGAGGGGGAGGAGCAGAGGGAGAGGGAGAAGCAGGCTCCCCACTGACAATTAACCGAGGCAGCCACCCAGCTACCCCTGCAGTTAGTTCTCCAATCTCATTGGCCCATACCATTTACAATGTTTCTATGACGTCATTGTTTGGAATTTAGAGTTTCAATCCAGAAGATTTTATCAGAATACTTATACAACTTTGTTTATATTGACTAATAAAATGGTTGTTCTGAATCTTATATTTGCATTTATTGTGAGCAAAGATGGTATGTGGGATTCTTTTTTATTAACTAAGAAATGTTAACCGTAAACAATCATTTCTTGAATACTTTCTTAGTAGCAGCAGTCACAGCAAATCTTGAGATGGGGTCTACTGTGACAAAAGACGAATTTCAGTTTTAACCCATTAGTGAACCCAGAGTCCAATGAACCTTTTGAAGCAAGAAATATAAATTTCTTTTTTTTTAAGATTTTATTTATTTGACAGAGAGAGACACAGCGAGAGAGGGAACACAAGCAGGGGGAGTGGGAGAGGGAGAAGCAGGCTTCCCGCTGAGCAGGGAGCCCGATGTGGGACTCCATCCGAGGACCCTGGGATCATGACCTGAGCCGAAGGCAGACGCTTAACGACTGAGCCACCCAGGCACCCCAAGAAATGTAAATTTCTAACTTGACATTTTCTCAACATTTACTGGCTATATGCTAGCCAGTGTAGAAAACATGAAATTTAGCCTATAACCCCCGCCCAACAGATTCTCAAAGTTAATTTGTTAGACTGAGCGAGAAGGAGCATGATAAGGGTGTGAGGCATACCCTAAAGGAAAAAAACAAAAAAACCCAAAAAACAGAGTTAGGGAGGGGTGACACATTGCCACAGGTTAATAAAATATTAGAGCTGTCCAAAGGACCCCAAATATCATGTAGCTATGTTCTAGGCTTTTTAGGAAGTTTCTTGGGAACAGTCTCTATATTTTTATCTTATTCAAGGCTTTATTCTCAACAACTAAAACGCTGTTTATCAGTTAGTAGGTGCTCCATAAATACTTGTTGATTGACAAGTGTGAAACTTCAGATCAGAGAGGGGAATTGATTTGATAAAGGTCACACAGCTGGTTTCGGGCAGAGCTGGATCTAGAAACTAGTTTTGATTCTTTATTCTTTGTTTTATCAAATTTAAGAGGCGGCTCCTGGAAAATGAACAAGTACAGCAAACGAAGCCTTCCATATGCGGACTGTCTTCCACATAGCATTTCTTCTTCCTTTATGAAATACCACTAACCAGATCTATCAATTTAATGTCTGAAATGTGAGTCAGGAGAACGGCGTTCTGTTCCTACTTCCTCTATTCACTCACTCCCTTTGCCACTGAGGCAAATTGCTTAACCTGTCCAAAGTCAGTTTCTTCTCCTGTCATGAAAGAGCTAAGCTCCCTTTCATTTCTCATGTCCTAGGAGTCTAGATTTCATGAAAGCTAATCAATAAGCTCACCCATGGACCATATCTCTGAACATCCTTATATCAGGGTTCTTGAAGTGTGGTCAGCATATCACCTCTATCAGAATCACCTGGAGTCCTTTAAAAATGCTGATCTTGCAACTGTTAAAGAGTATAAATTAGATGCATAGTTGTTGATTTGGAGGGATTTCCACTAGGCCATCCTTTCCAATGCTTTTCACTTCAACAGTCATGGTACACATAAAAAATGAGAATATTGGGACCCCTGGCTGGCTTAGCCAGAAGAGCATGCATAAGTTCAAGCCCCATATTGGGGGTAGAGATTACTTAAATATATAAATAAAAACTTAAAAAAAGTAATATTTGTGTGGTGTATTGGGGTAAGAAAGCTTAGACGGTCTCTTTGCTAATGCACTTTTCACTGAGAAACTGCCAGAAGTATCAGTGAGTGAGAAAAACAAGTTGCAGGAAAATATTAGATATGATCCATTTTCAAGACAATGCCAAAACTTTGTATATGTGTCTACATGAATATGTATTATGTATTTGTGTATGATCATGTATTATATTATGTGCATGTAGATACACAATGTTATAAGAATGTTGAAAGGATCATACTAGGTTGTTAAAGTAGGGGAAGAGAGAAGGGAAAACAAAGAATAGAGAGAAAAAAAGAACACCAGTATGTATGCTATGAATCCACCTATGCATTTATGTAAAATAATGTATTTGGGTATAAAGACATTTAAAAAATTAAAAATGCAGATCCAGGGCTCCTAGCTGAGATTCCTTAAAGCAGAATTTAAAAGATAGGAGATGTGCAGAGGTGGGTGTCTGCATCATTAACAAGAATTCCAAGCGATTCTGTAACAGTAAAGTCTTTGCATTAGGTGCTAATATCAGTAGCTGTAAACATACTGTATTGGAAATTTCCATCCTGCAATGCAGGCTAAGCTGATACTCACTGTCTTGGAACATAGTAGATGCATAATAAATAGTTTGATTATTTGGGTCATTTGGAGGACAGGTGGAGGGAGTGAGGGCCAAAGTCGTGAGACAAGCAGATCAGGTGGGCAAGGTCAAGCTCAGGAGAGTGGAGGAAAAAAGCATATAATAGCAATGGACTGGGCCCCCTTGCCATTTTCAGACATTCAGTCAATATTTGTTAGGCACTAAATACATGCAGGACACTTTTTCTAGCTCTTACATAATTCCCAAATAACTCTTTACAGATTCAAAGTTATTAAGTGATAGCACTGTCTCATCAGAACTGGGATTTGTACCTGACACATGTTTTGAGCACTAAGCTAATGAACCAGACACCAGGCAGCTGCTGAGGATAGGGTGGTGAATACAATAGTTAGCTCTTTTTCATATCTAGAATCTTGAAGCTCTGCCATAATCATCTCTGTCGTCACTTATTAGTTGACCGTCCTAGTCAGGTGCCTAGAAGCAGCTTCTTTGTCCTATATTTCAACTTGGATGCTGCCAAAGAGAGATTATAGTAAATGTGTTTTTTGTCATCATCCCTAGAGCTAGTGTTTTCACAGTGGGGAAGAAGTATCATTTCCTTGCATAGTGCAAGGTGTTCCGCCCGCCCCCCCCCCGGCCGACCCCCCCCAAGCTAAGAAGACTAATTCTATTTTTTTCCCCCAAATCTTAGGCACCGACCAACTGAGAATTCTGGCTCTTCATTGTTTCATCTGTTAAGCGCTTTTGTTAGAGCAGAAAGATGAAAGTGGGGAAGACGATGCCCTCTCATTAACTTCAGGGGTAGGGCAACAAATGGTACAAAAATTCTTTACACGTACCCATTTTTCTGTGATCTTATCCCTGGTGTTGGGGGCTGTTTAGGAAAAAAAATCAGAGGTGTATATTTTGTGCCCAAATGCCTTAAAGTAAAAACAACAACAACATCCTTTTACCACCCACTAACCACTAACATTAACTTGAGGACCTTGATTTCTAATTTGTGGCACCCTCACCCCAGCCCCATTCATTTCCGGAGAAGTAGCCATTTTGCAGATTCCGGAGAATGGGAGCAGGGGCTGGACCCTAATACTGGATCTTCCCTCTTTCCCAAACCTCCGTGGAGCCATTCCGGCTCGGTAACGCGAGCCTGGTCTCCGTGATTTGTCAGTAACCTAGAGTCCGGGGACCGGAAGACCGGAGGCTGCGATTCCCAGGTGGGGTTGAGTGGGGTGTGTGTGCAGAACTCATTAGCGAGGTCAGGCCCCCTGGGGCGTTATCTTTGGAACCAGGTGCGGAGCTTCTCCAGCTGCCAGAGCCTCTCCAGCCCTGGGCTGGAAGCGTGGTTAAATAGCTGCTCCCTGCCCAGGTGTGCAGCCTACATCTCAGGCTGCCTTCCCAACCTGGGGAAATGAGGTCAGTGTGTGTCTTTCAGGCTCACAAAGGACCACCTCTTCCCCAAGTCACGTTCGATCACACGGAGCCGATCTTAAATGGATAATAATGTAATAAGTCCAGCCAAACGCATTCCTCGTCAAGACGCGGAATCTCAGGCCCACGGAACGTGGGACGGGTCACCCCCGCTCTCCGCTCCCGGCTCCCTCCGCCGCTAGTCCCCACTCGGTCGTAGCCAAAGCCCGGAACGCTGGATCCAGGCCCGGAAGAACGGGACCGCGAATGGGAGCGGCGCCGGCGGCCGGGAGCCCGTGGCACCGGGCATGCTCAGTGGCGCGGCCGGCTGGGTGGCCCCGAGAGCTGCACCCGGATCTGCTCGGCGGCGGCGGCGGCGACGTGAGCGCGCAGGGGGGCGGCGGCCTCGCCTCGTCTCCCTCTCTGCGCCTGGGTCCGGTGGGTGACGCCAAGCGCCGGAGAGATGTCGGATTTCGACAGTAACCCCTTTGCGGACCCGGATCTCAACAACCCTTTCAAGGTGAGCGTGTGGTCCCCAGCAGTCTCCCGCCGCCGCGACGCGTCGTTGTTTGTGAAAACGACAAGTTCCTTCGCGCCCACTGAGCCCGCCCCTCGGCTCCCCTCAGCCGCCTAGACTGGGGCTCGGGGCCGCCGCACCCCATTTGGGGGTCGCGCCGCGGCCCTCGCAGCGCTCGTTTGGGGGTTCGGGTGGAACGTCTTCAGCTGCCTCTCCCGCCGCCCCCTCCGCACATTCCCGGCTGGGGAGGGTCGTGCCCTCGCCCGGGAGTGGGCCCACGCGTCGGGAGGGTTCCTGGCCCGTCTCTCGGGAGCGGGGAGAGTAGAGCGCAGGGCAGGTGAAGTTGTCACTTGACAGGCGAGTGTGGCCGGCCGGGGCCGGGAGGCGGCGGAGGGGATCACCTTCGGGTGGGGTTGTCATGGGGACCCGCGGCGGCGGCGAAGAGCTGCGTGGGGTGATGGCAGAGGTGTAGAAGAGAGGTGAGGGCGCCGAGTACGCTGCAATTTAAAAAAAAAAAAAGGTTGTGTTTTTATTTTTTAAACTTGTGTTGCTCCCACATACCACCAGCGGCGCTGCTATCCCCCCTCCCCCCATTTGATTCAGGTTGAGAGTACTGATATCAAAGCAGAAGTGAAAAATAAATAAACACCTGGAAAACAATAGTGCACGTGGACGACCATCTTCTTACCTAACTGCACTTAGTAAGGTGAACGACGGGATGTTTTCCAAGCTCCTAGTGCGTCACCAGTTCTCTGGGCTGTGTGAGGATAGCATTTCCTACATGAGTTTCTTTCCTTCTTGGAGTCAGCCTTATCAACCCCAGCTTTGGAAGGGCTTGGCACAGAAACGGGCGAATGAGGAAGGAGGCTAAGATGTTTATGATGTGTGCTTAAACTAATGCAACATCTGAGTATTATACCTATTTAAAGAATAATAGTCTGTGTTTCCTAATGAGGTCAGCTGCTTACATGTGTAATTTGTTTCCAGCTGTTGGTCGAAGTTTATTAATTTTTTCTGCATATGTGCAATAGTAACTTTAATTTGTAGTCACACAAAATGAAAGAGTAACTTTATTTTGTGGTCACACAAGTGTCACTTCTGCCTTGAGTTTACATCTCATTACTCCTGGTTTGGTCTCTTATTATGAATCCTGGAAGGGGGCGGCACCTGGCTGGCTCAGTCCGTGGAGCATGCTACTCTTGATCTTGGGGTTGTGAGTTCAAGCCCCACGTTGGGTGTAGAAATTACTTAAAAATAAAATCTTAAAAAAAGAATCATGGAAGGGAAAAATATCCCTTTTTTGATTATTGGCCTTTTAATTTCATGGAGGATTATTATACTTAAATGATCCTGGTTATTGACAACTTGATTCACTGTGTAGGAATGTAGAATAGACTCAGTCTACTATTCCTTTGCTCCTAGTGTCCTTTAAGGAAATTCTGTGCAATCGGCCTGGAACTTTCAGGCTTTTATAGCTGATATGGTTGCACTTTAAGGAGAGTACTTTCCTCCCCTCCTCACCCCCTCCACCCATTTAGTATTTGGTATTCCATCATTCCGTGTTGTGGAAAATCAGATTATTCTTTAATCATAGACTTTCAGGGGGTGCCTGGGTGGCTCAGTTGTTGGGCGTCTGCCTTCGGCTCAGGTCATGATCCCAGGGTCCTGGGATGGAGCCCCGCGTCGGGCCCCCTGCTCAGTGGGAAGCCTGCTTCTCTTTCTCTCACTCCCCCTGCTTGTGTTCCCTCTCTCACTGTGTCTCTCTCTGTCAAATAAATAAAATCTTAAAAAAATCACAGACATTCTGAACACACGTTTCATAACTTGCAAAATAGGTGTCATTTTTAAATATTTTGAAGGTATAATGTTAAAAATCTGTTAGCTATTCCTAATTCAGATAATTTATTGATGTTGTTTATTCAGCATCTGACAGTTTGGCTCTTTTCTATTGGTCATTCCATTTAATGGCTTATTTTGTATAGCTGATTCCCTTGTTAGGGCAAGACATTGTTTTCTTCTTAACCTTTCTTTCTGCTCTTTGGTGACATCTGATGTTGCCATGACGCGTTGTTTTTCTGCCATACGTATGGTCGTTGTAGTAATTCCAAACCCAAAAGTGCTTTTATTTTTATTTTTAAATTTTTTTTCCAAAAGTAGTTTTAAAGATTTATTTTTATTTTGGGGGGGGAAGCACAGGAGGGGGGAGGGAGAGGGAGAATTCTAAGCAGGTTCCACACTCAGTGGAGCCTGATGTGAGGCTCAGTCTCACGACCCTGACATCATGACCTGAGCCGACTCAAGAGTCAGCTGCCTAACCATGTGAGACACCCAGGCTCCCCTCCAAAAGTAGTTTTAAATACTCATTTGTGGTGACATAAAATTATAAAACTTTTTTGTTGCTTATAAGGTGGATGCACTCAGAGGACAATGACTATTCAAGTCCATGAAATATTTCAAGGGATGGATAATCTAGGCCTAAAGAAGATTTGGCTGTATACATGTTCCTGTTTATGGCCTTACCCTGTTTTTGGTGACTGTCACAGCACTGCATATCTGACCCTTTATCTTTCCATTTGTGTCCACCCGCCCTGCTTTTTTTTTTTTAGTTTGTTTATTTGACAGAGAGCGAGACCGTGAGAGAGGGAACACAAGCAGGGGGAGTGGGAGAGGGAGAAGCAGGCTTCCTGCTGAGCAGGGAGCACGATGCGGGGCTCAAATCCAGGGCCCTGGGATCATGACCTGAGCCAAAAGCAGACGCCCAACGACTGAGCCACCCAGGCACCCACCTGCCCTGCTTCTTAAAGTGAAGCTTTACATCTACTGCATATTCTTTCTTCTTATGTATGATTTTTGAAATAGCATTTCTGATCCTCTCTACTTAAATATAAAAGTTGCTGGTTTTATCTTCTTTTTTTTTTAAGATTTTATTTATTTGAGAGGGAGAGAGTGAGCAAGCAGAGCAGGAGGAGGGAGGGGCAGAGGGAGAAGCAGACTCCCCACTGAGCAGGGAGCACCATGTGGGGCTCGATCCCACAACCCTGAGATCATGACCCGAGCCGAAGGCAGACGCTTAACCGACTGAGCCACTCAGGCGCCCCTGGCTTTATCTTTTTGTTAACTTATGATCATCTTTTCAGATCTGTTCTAATTTTCAGTATTGCAGTATTGAAAAATTTCGTATTTTCAAAATACGATATTTCACATTTGGCAACCATCCTAATTTCTTCTTGGTTAAAAGCTATTTGATTTTGGGGGCTCCTGGGTGGCTCAGTCACTTAAGCATCTGACTCTTGATTTTGGCTCAGGTCATAATCTCAGAGTTGGGAGATTGAGCCTGGCATCGGGCTCCACACCAAGTGCAGAGCCTGCTTAGGATTCTCTCTTCCCCTCTTCCTCTGTCCCTCCCCCACACCCCCTCTCCCTCTCTGAAAAAAACAAAAAACAAAACAAAAAATCCCAAAACCATAAACAAAACCTGTTAATTTTTTGTTTATTTAAATTCTGTTTAGCATATAGTGTCATATTAGCTTCATTAGTAGAATTTCATGATTCATCACTTAAATACAACACCACAACAAGTGGCCTCCTTAATACCCATCCCCCTGCCCGCCTCCCCTCCAGCAGCCCTCGGTTTGTTTTCTATCGTTAAGACTCTCTTGTGATTTGCCTGTCTCCTTTCCCCCCATGTTAATCTGTTTATTTCTTAGATTCCACATGAGTGAAATCACATGGAATTTGTCTTTAACTTGTTTCACTTAGCATAATAACACTGTAGCTCCATCCACATTGTTGCAAATGGCAAGATTTCATTTTTTGATGTCTGAGTAGTATTCCATTGTATATATGTACCACAACTTCTTTATCCATTATTCAGTGAACATTTGAGCACTTTCCATAATTTGGCTATTGTTGATAATGCTGCTATAAACATCAGGGTGCATGTGTCCTTTCGAATCAGTATGTTTGGATCCTTTCGGTAAATACCTAGTAGTGCAATTGCTGGGTCGTAGGGTAGTTCTATTTTTAACTTTCTGAGGAACCTCCATACTGTTTTCCAGAGTGGCTGCACCAGTTTGCATTCCCACGAACAGTGTTAGAGGGCTCCCCTTTCTCCATATCCTTTGCCAACACTTGTTTCCTGTTAATTTTAATTTTGCTAATTTTAGCCATTCTGCCTGGTGTGAGGTGATACCTCATAGTAGTTTTGATTTGTATTTCCCTGATGTTGAGTAATGGTGAGCATCTTTTCATATATCTGTTAGTCATCTGGACGTGTTCTTTGGAAAAATGTCTATTCATGACTTCTGCCCATTTCTTGACTGAATTTGTTTTTTTGGGTATTGAGTTTGATGAGTTCTTTATGGATTTTTGGACACTAACCCTTTATCAGATATGTTATTTGTAAATATCTTCTCCCATTCTGAAGGTTGCCTTTTAGTTTTGTTGATTCTTTTGCTGTGTAGAAGCTTTTTATCTTGATGAAGTCCGAATAGTTCATTTTTCTTTTGTTTATCTTGCCTCCAGAGATGTATCTGGTGAGAAGTTGCTATAGCCGATGTCAAAGAGGTTGCTGCCTATGTTCTGTAGGATTTTGATGATTCCTGTCTCACATTGAGGTCTTTCATCCATTTTGCATTTATTTTTGTGTGTGGTGTAAGAAAGTGGTCCAGTTCCATTCTTTTGCATGTAACTGTCCAGTTTTCCCAACACCATTTGTTGAAGAGACTGTTTTCCACTGGTTATTTTTTCCTGCTTTGATTAGTTGACCATAGAGTTGTGATTCCATTTCTGGGTTCTCTATTCTGTTCCATTGATCTATGTGTGTTTTTGTGCCATTACCATACTGTCTTGATCACTACAGCTTTTTCATGTAACTTGAAGTCCAGAATTGTGATGCTTTCAGCTTTGCCTTTCTTTTTCAAGACTAATTTGGCTATTTGGGGTCTTTTGTGGTTCCATTCAAATTTTAGGATTGTTAATTCTAGCTCTGTGGAAAACGCTGG